CTTATATTGGGTCCATCTAGGACCCAATATAATCCAGGACAATTTTTCTATTACAAGGTAACCTAATTAGCAACCTCAATTCCCTCTTTCACAAGGTAACATTCACAGGTTCTGAAAATTAGGGTGTGGCCACCTTTGATGGGCCATTATTCTGCCAACCACAGCTTCTTTTTAAGACTGTTGCAAAAGAGCAGGATTGGGGCAATGCTTTTAATCCTAAAGCCTTAATAAATGGGGAAAAAAGAGTTATTTCTCAGGAATAATTTGGAGGTGAGTGAACTCTATTTTCAGGGTGGTGTTTGAGCTATGTCTAATGTGTGTCTTCCCTTCCTGGCACCTGAACATCAGGAAGCTGGGCTCATCTGCTTTGAGTACCAGAGTCTCCTAAGCAAATGCACACTTAGGTCTGCCTGACCTGGTCATGTTCTCTTTTCCTCTCTTTATTCTTAAAGTTAGCTACTCTAACTTTCATATCTCCAAATCTCTCATTTTGTACTTTTCTCTCTTTTTGCCTTTGTTAATAATATGGGATTAAATGTGAGTGCAAAGAATTTGCATTCATTTGTCTATAATAGTTTAAGCTCCTACAGTGACCACAGAAGACATGTTTTAGAATGGGTGTTGGGAAAACATGTCTATTGAAGTTGCATATTTTATAATTACATCTCAAAAACCTGTCCAGTATACAGCCAGGCTGGTTTAAAAGTTCAGGGACCATTTGGACTCAATAAGATAGGTTGATATGTCTACATTTAAAAAGTAAGCATTATATAAGAGTAGTAATTTTTAAAACATTTAACCCCAGGATTGCTATAAAAAATAACTTTATCCTGATGTCTGAGAAAACTTCTACCCCTGAATATGGATAATAATGAGACTCTGTGAAGTATTTTTTTTGTTTTCACAATTGCTGTTTGGAATGGAAATATGCACTTTTCTCTGAATTTTTGCATTCTTCTTTTCAAACAATACTGTACTAGTACTAGTACAACAAAATCATGAAGGAAGAGAACTTGATATTTTCATCCTCCATGGATCATGATACTATAATCAAAATTAACAACCATTTTTTTCAGGCCCATTTTCTCAGGCATCTCATCAATGATAAGAGCTCACTACAATAAGTAGTTTCCTATGAATAGAAGCAAATGCAAAAAGAACACCATAATCTTAGAGAATGAATATGAAAATGAATAGCCCAGGTTCAGGGTATAAAGGGTAAGTAAAGAATCTGCCTTTCTTCTCACTTGTCTCATTTTCCAATTTAGAATCAATGGTGAGTAGTCAGAGGAATGGCAAAACATCTGACAGTCTGTTATGCCCTGAGCTGGCATTCTTTCTCAGTACCTGTAGGCACATTATCTGGAGAATGAGTCCTATGGATGAAATCAGCATTGAGGCATGTGGGAAAGTGAGAAGCAAAACTCACATCTGTAAAGCTCTTAAAGTAGACAACATGCCAAATCATGAGACAAAGGAGTCAGTGGTGAAATGTCAAATTCAGGTGAGACGGGAGGGGGGTGAATTTCCCTGAAGAAGGCTAAAAGGAGTATCATGAAGTCTTAATGTACAAATCCCCATTATGGGGCTATCTAGGTTTAGCAGCTGAATAACCTAGTATGAAATAGCCTAAATGAGACCTCCTTTGTTTTTCATTTTTTAAAATCATGATTGTACTTTTAACTCTTAGTAAATGGATCAAAGACAAAAGGACATCATATAACTGGGGTAGTCACACAAAGTTGCTTAATGTTTATTTCTCCTCTTCTAGGAAAACTGCATATTGGAAAATATCATCCTTGATTAATCAGAAAATTATGGCAGCAAAAAGTTTCAGAAAAATCAAGTAAAAGATTCTAGATGCTTGTGGACACACCCTCATCTCCATATCGATTAACCCACTAAGTTTCAAAAAATTTTCTAGGCAAGCCTCAGACACAAACCTGCCAAGAGGCAGGCCTGACACAAACTGAACTGAGCATATGGTATTTACTACTGCGTTTGGCTTAGGGAATATGTAAGATAATAGGCCCTGATAATTAGAACAGTGCATTTCTTTGTAGGAAGAATTTGACCTGGGACATTTGCTAAAAATTTTAGATAGCATGAAGTTTTATCAGGGCTAATTATTCTGAATCATTCCCTCATTAAATAGGTAAAGTAAATGCTTTCTGTTGGATGATGACTAAATTCAAAGTTCTCCTGGATTATTTCAAATTGTGTAGATGGTAATCTGGTTAGCTATGAACACAGCTGCACTGGAGATAGTCTCAACTGGTTACGTTGCTAAATATGCATGAAGTCTGTAGTTTTTATTGATTTCAAGGTTTTAGATGTATTTTGTGACCCTCTCTGAATGATCAGTATCCTGTCACATATGATTACCCAGATATTTAGGGTCACTGCTCAGTAACCAAGTAATTTGCATTTTAAGATATTTACTTGGATCAATAGAAGTAATGATAGATCAGTCATTTAAGATACACAGTTTTGTCAATTGTTTGCCATCCAGCCTTTTACCATTTCCATTACTAACTGTATATTCATAGAGTAATTTCATTTTGATGTCTGGCTTAAAGTGAGTGAATATACAGGGTCCAGCAGAAGTAATGCTTGCTTGAGTGTGGTTGGTAGGGTAATAATATGGGCGTAATAATTTTTAGTTTTAATTTTAACGTTTCATCTAAAATGTCATGTGATATGCTTGAGTATGATACTGTTATGTTATAGAATTACATGCTTGTGATTTTGTAATACAAGATTTTATGATAAAAAGGGGTGTTATTTGTGCAGAACCCTGTATATGTTAATGAAATAGCCATTGGGGGAAACGTACTACATAAGGCATCAATTACCTTTGTATGAAATTCTAACTAGTAAAATAACAGCAGGAGTTTTTCAGAATAAGATGTGCATAGAGAACAAAAGTAGGGAGGACAATAACTGTTTCAAAAACTAGAAGACATTCCTTCTAAAAAGTCCTATGAAGCTGTGTGAGAAGACTTTTTTAAAAATTGGAATCCCTGATTCTAGATGCATATTGGGCTTACAGCATGGATAAATGACTAACATTATTCTGATAAAAATAGACAAAAAACTGTACTTGAAAAATAATTAAATAAAATTATAAAAAAATAAAAAAACAACAAAAAGAAAAAAGAAAACTAGTTCTAAACCACAGTTTGAAAGATGAACATGTATAATCCAATTTTCTGTTACCACTTGGTATGTAATGCCATGACTTTCAAATATGTGTGCCTATTGGACATGAATTGAGATTATATCAGGATGTTGATCACAGGGGTCATCTGATTCCTTGGACTATACCTGGGTGTAGGTTATTGGCAGTCTATGGGTTATTAAGGAGACACTTTATTCTGGAACACATATACAATTCAGTTACTACATTCAGGACAGAAGATGTTTTCTATACTTTAAATTCACTGACAAATACTTAAATGCTTAAATACAAATATTTAATAATAAGGCATGACACATTCTTCTACAGTAGATACATTCTTCTTCAGATTGCCATGAGTGTTTTCATTCAATTCTTCTGTTTATCATTATTTACACATTATTTAATACCTAAATAATTATTTGACATTCATTTAAAAACATGTTGCATTCATACTTGGCTCAGAATAAGGTATCAATTAAAAAACCTTTAATCCCAGGTGCAGGTAGATACTACACCTCAAAATGCATTGATAGCCCTGGCTGGTGTAGCTCAGTGGGTTGAGCGCACGACTGCAAACCAAAGGATGATGTTTCCATTCCCAGTCAGGGCACATGCCTAGGTTACAGGCCAGTTCCTGGCAAGGGATGCACGAGAGGCAACCATACATTGATTTTTCTCTCCATCTCTCCTTCCTTCCCCTCTAAAGATAAATAAATAAAATCTTTTAAAAAAATGCATTGATAGAGCCCTGGCTGATGTGGCTCAGTGGATAGAGTACTGGCCTACAAACCAAAGGGTCACTGGTTCAATTCCCAGTTAGGGCACATGCCTGGGTTATGGGCCAGGTCCCCAGGAGGTGGCATGTGAGAGGCAACCACATACCGATGTTTCTCTTCCTCTCTCCCCCTCTTCTCCTCTCTCTAAAAATAATTAAATAAAAAATTTAAAAAAGAAACGCATTGCTAGAAATTAATTTTTGCTATTGTATCATGAAATAATCAGAGAAATACAACATAAAGCAAACATTTACTCCAATGGCAGAGAATAGAGCTCAGTTCTATAATAGCCATCAGCAAAGTCCATGGTCTAAATTACAGCTTAACCAAGGGCTCATGAGCTCAAAATTAAGTTATTGTGTTTAAGATCAATCACTGAGACTGTCAGTTCGCTTATTGCTTTGACTTCCTAACAAAGGTTTAAATGAGGGCTTTATGTACAAGTAGAGAATGTTAGGAGACCAGTTTATTTTTCACAGCAGCATGGGTTGAAAAGGCAAAACATTTAGTCTATTAATGTAATTAGAATATATTACAGGAATATATTTTTTGAGAAAAAAAATCTTTAACAAAATATCCCACAAGTCTAAAATTAATCTATTATTTGGAGGAAAAATTGGTAAGAAATGAAAGGTGGGGTAGATTTAAATCTTTTTAAAAATGTATTTATTTATTTCTAGAGAGAGAGGAAGGCAGGAAGAAAAATGTAGATGTGTGAGAGAAACATCAATTGGTTGCCTCTCATACACCCCCAACTAGGGATCTGGCCAGCAACCCAGGCATGTGCCCTCAAGGAACCGAACTGGTGACCTTTCAGTTGACAGGATAGTGATCAATTCACTGAGCCACACCAGCTAGGGCATAAGGTGGAGTACATTTAAAAAGCAGATACCAAAGCCTGGTAGGCAGGAAGTCTGGAATTTACCCAATTCTACCTTCTAGGGCCAGGCACCAGAATTGGGGAGAAGGGTTCAGAAAGAGTATTGCCTTTGCTAGCAAAAATGCATTCAGATTGTGGTTTTGAGAAAGAGTATTTTTCTTTTTCATTTGGTTTCAGGTTGGCTCATTACTAAGGTCCTGAGCAGCTCATGGATTGTCCTCTCATCATATCTGAGGGTCTCCTTCAGGATGTACTGTGTGTGCTGCCCAAGCAGGGGAGGTGGCCTGGCCTCTGACATTTTGAACTTACTGTATCACAGCTGGGCCTGTCAAAAGAGGAAGAAAGCAGGAAGCTTGTTAATGAGGAAATTAATTACCCAAGCAGCTGGGGTGTTTGCAATAAATGCCAAGAATACCACTGCCAGTCACACACTTGCAGATGTACCATCATTTTGGAAACAAACGTATCTTTGTGTGTGCCTTTTCTTCACTCCATTTCATGCAACTGCACAAAGGTCATCTGACCTGTGTACCACTGTGCAAAGGCTGCATACACATGCCTGGTATGTGCCCGGCCTGTTCAGACGCTGTCAGTCCTGTCACAGGAACTCATGGGGATAGGGTGCTCAACTGAGTGGACTCTCTGGGTCCAAGAGAATAATGACCAGGATATATAATACCTTTCTGAACCTGAAAATCAGACCCTAGGTGCAGATAACCCAAAATTTTACTATTCGATGTCTGCTGTGTAGTTCCAAAATTTAATTCAAAAAGCAGCAGCTCAGCTAAACAGCATCTAAACCCCATATGAAGCCTTTTGATGGTAGAAGTTATATATGCAAACTCCATTGTCAAGGAGACCTGAGTTTGGATGTCAGCTTTTAGAATTGCTAGCAGAGCCATCTTGAACAAATCACTTAATTTCTCTGAGCCTCATGTTCCACAGCTGTAAACTGGGTATGATGTACCACATAAACTTGATGTAAAATTTTAAATTATTTAAAATTAAATTTAAAAATTATTTAAATTTAAATTTAACTAATTGGCAGAAAGCACTAAGCAAACATTCCTTAGCCCACGATTGTGCACAAAACCCACTGGCTACTCTGATGGCAAAATCTGCCACAGCATCTCTCTGGAAGCTTTCAGTGCAAGGGGAAAAGACATGTATCTCTAGCTATTTGCTGAGCACTGAACCACTGTAAAAAGGGTAATTAAAGCAATACTTTCAACAAGTGTTGGAAATAGATATCCCCATTCTTCAAATAAGGCCACTAAAGCCCACCAAGCTAAGGTTTTATTTACTCAAGGTTGCATGCTAATAATTAATAACACCAGGATTCAAATCCATGTGCATTTGCATTGTCTCCACCTGACAGCCATGCAGTTTCCATAGCCGCAGTGTCTTTTTACTCCTCAGTATATCATGCAAAAGTTTAACTGATATTGGGGAACAGAGTCTGTGTTTACTGCCTCATTGAAAAAGTGGAATTGATGTTGCTATCTTTTAGTTCTCATTTGATCAGCCTTATAATTAATTACAGGGAAATAACTTACATAATTACAAGAAGAATACAAAATGGCATTTCTATCTCATGAGATTTTTTTAGTCTCCTTTTGATTTGTAGGAATTCTTCGCAGGAAGAACAAATAAAACCAGAACATATGTGGGTAACAAATTGTCAGTAAGGTAAGCAGCAAATGTGCTTCTTTCTCTTTGGAGAATTCCATTAATAAAAAGTACTGTTGTAGAAACTGTTTTTGATGGAGTTAGAGCAAGAAAGACCATCAAGTCATCCCTCTGTGTAACACATGCCATCCACTACAGATCTGATAGCTAAAGTTTTCCTTATCTGAAGCCCAGTGAAATCCCTATTTTTCTCACATTTCCTTTTAAATGCCCTACTGCATGACTTTTTTCATGTGTTGGTTCCTTTCCAGTAAAGGAGCAAACATTGGGAGGCACAGTGTGCTGCTCTCCTAAGAAAGCTGATAATATGATGTTTTAGGTATGTGATCCTTATTGCTCTTACAGACCTGCTTATATTTTGATACTAACTAACAACAATTTTAATCTAAATCTTGTCTTTCAAAAGAACTCCACTGTGGGCACACATGGCTACAGTTAATGCCATGGTCCTTTTTCCTAAATTAGTAACCTGAAATGAGACTTCCAACTGGAAAGTAATCACTTGAATATATCAAGAACCTGGGTTGGAACACAACCTACTATGATAGTATTATTGTTGATGCTGCTGATAATAGTAGTAAGCAGTAATAGCTACATTTCCTAAGAATTTATGATGCATCAGCCACTGTACCAAAGGTAGTACATATGTTATCTCATATAATCCTCACAACAATCCTGTATGGACATTTAAGCTAAAGGGGGTTTAAGGTAAAATGGTTAAAGTTAACATTGGGAAATTAATATAAATAGCCCATTGTCACACAACTAGAAAGGAACAGAGTTGTCTTCCAAATCAAGATCTGTCAGGTTGCAGAACCTGGAATTAAAACAAAATAATTTATTTAGATGAAGTTCATATTACTTAAAATTAACCATTTGAAAGTGAACAATACAGTGGCATTTAGCACATTCACAATGCTATACAACAACCACCTTTATCTACTTCTAAAACACTTCCATCACTCAAAGTAAAATCCTCTATCCATTATACAGTTTCACTCAACTCCTGCTCCCTCCATCCCCTGGCAACTACTGACCTACTTTTTGTCTCTGTGGATATATGTATTCTGGATATTCCATATAAATGGGATCATAAAGTAGGTGACCTTTTGTGTCTATCTTCTTTCACTAAGCATCATGTTTTTGAGATTTTATCCACATTATAGTACACATCAGTGCCAAGGAATTAGATGTTTAACCTCCATGCAATGATGGTATTTAAGAAACTCTTCAGGTCCAGCCATGTTAAAGGGTATTTCAACTTGGGTCACTCCCTCTATACACCATACTTTCCTGGTAGCTTCCAGAGTTATACTGAAGACTATGTCACCAATTTAGGATTAAAACTATTTAACTCTTTGCATAAAAAATTTAAATAAGTTAGGTTGTTAGTTTGGTATTACTTGGTAAAGTTTTACACTTATTTGGATAAAGACATGTGTATATGGAATGAAGCAAATAAAGTGATGCTCAAAACCCAGGAATAATGACCTCTCATTAAACTGTGCCACCCTGTACAACAATCAAGTGCAGCAGAGACATCTCTTTCAGTCTAAGCTTTGCACAAAGAGAATAAAAGGCTTATCAATACACTTGTTTCAAGGAGTAGAAAATGTTTAATATAATTATATACATGTAAGGGCCAGAAAGAATAAATAATATGCTCTTTCATTAAACAAAGATGAGCAGGTAAGTCACATGTCCTTAAATAACTTTTGGCAGAGTACAATTTATGTTCATGTATACTTTCAAATACTTGCAAGTTGTATGATCTTGAGGATTTTTAAAGTCCCTGAGCATCAGTCTACACATTTCTAAAATGAAGCTAACAATACTTTTGAATATTGTTTTTAGCATTTAAGTAAATGGGTAATATTCAATATCAATAATAATAAAATAAATCTGATATAATTTTAATAAGACACATGAAGACAATAAGATACAATTTTGTTTACAAAATTACCAAATATTGTGGATATGTTTTACTGTTTTTAAAAGGTTGGTAACTGATAGTACAAATGAGTGCAATTTTATGGAGACAAATTTGTAAACTAAATGTCAAGTGTTTTAGAAGTGTTCACACAATTGAAAAAACAAATCTTGATAAAAAAATGCAAAATAGAGACAGACTCATAGATAGAAAGCAAAATGACAGTTCTTGGAAGGGCTGAGGGTGTTGAGGAATGGAGAAAAAAAGGAAAAAGAAAAAAAGAAAGAACTCATGGGCATGGACAATGGTGTGATAATTGTGGGTTTAAGGGGGAAAGTGGAGATGGAAGAGAATATGGGGGTATAAGTGGCGATGAAAAAAGTAAAACCTTTTTTAAAAATTTAAAAAAATTATGGATGTAATAAGAAATATTGACAAATTTTAAAGACAAGAAGCTATACAAATTTCTAAATGCACTCAATACTCTTAGCTCTATCCTTCCCACATAGCTTTCTAACCTACAGCCTGTGAAGGTTCTTTGTATGGAATTCTGTACTTTCTTTCTTTTTTTAATTTAAAAAAATCACATTTTACTTTAAAAAGTATATTAGCTTAAGATATTAGTATATGTACTTAAGAAATTTAATTAAATGCATATTTACTTAAATATGTAACATATTTACTTAGATATTTAATGTAAATATTTTAAATGTAAATATTTTAAAATATTTAAAATATTTAAATATTTAATGTAAATATTTTAATATAAATATTTACACGAAAATATTTAATGTATATTTTAGGCACAGTATGTATTCTGTGGCTAAAATAAGAAATGTGGAATGGGTTAATGGTGTGTTTACTCTTATTTGGATTTTTGGCCAGGATGAGATTAAGGGGTTGAGATTGGATAGAATAGTTCTATGCAGATTCAATTCTCCAGGAGGCTTACTGGGTTTTCTCAGTGTTTTGGGCTGCTGACCTTCACCATTCTGGTCATGCAGCCAAGTAAGTGGAAATGATTGTTAAAATTCTGAAGTTTAGTGTCTTTTAAAGTAGATTTTGTGGGTTTTTTTTTTAAAGTTTCTTAGAGCAGTTTTAGGTTCACAGCTAAATTGAGAGGAAGTCATAGGGGAGGGAGGGAGGAAGATGGCGAGGGAGTAGGACAGAACGTACTCCAGTTCCCCCTACATGTGGGTGAAAAGCCTGGCCGAGCTACTGAGAAATAGGGTAATTAAGTGATAGATCCACAGCATTTATGAAGTTGGGAGAGTAGTTGAGATTCCGGTCAGCAGCAGGTTAGTGGTGCATAGGGGAGTCGAGGGGGGACAGGAACAGTAGCGGCGGGGCCAGTGCCCGCACTCGGGCGCCCCAGTGCCACAGCCTGCAGAGGGGCTGTGACCCGCTCCTGAGGCGTCCGTCTCTGGGGTGGTAGGCAACCAGCACGGGTGAGCAGTGTTCACCCTCCCTGTCTGGGAAGCGCCAGGCAGAGGCCTGTGCGACTTACTTTACACAAAGAACAGAGAGCAACTCCAGAACAAAGGGCCGAGCTCATCTTTGGACCATGCTCCATGGTGGTCGGGGCGCAGAGACATTGGTCTGGGACAGGCGCAGGAGGCGCCCTCCTTGGGAGCGGGGGTAACAAGCAGCCCTGGTAGGCGACCAGCGCAGGGGCAACAGTGTTCTCCGTGCCCCCCTCC